GGCAGGCAGATCGCTTGAGCCCTGGAGACCAACCTGGGCTACATCGCGAGACCCCGTCTCTACAAAAAAAAAATACAAAAATTAACTGGTTGTGGTAGCACGTGCCTGTAGTCCCAGCCACTCAGGAGGCTGAGGTGGGAGGACTGCTTGAGGCCAGGAGTTCAAGGCTGCAGTAAGCTGTGATTGCACCACTGCACTCCAGCCTGGGCAACAGAGTGAGACCCTGTTTAAAAAGAAATAAAAGCTCTCAACTTTCCTGACACTGCTCCCTCCTGGTGTCCCTCTTAGCTCTTCAATCACTCCTACCCCTGGGGTAACCGCTTCTCATCCCCTGAGCTGTGAGTCTTCAGTGGGGTCCTCTCACCATATACCCTCTCCCTAGGTGGGCTCCACACCGCTGGTGTCCAGCGCCATCTATGCCATGACGCCTCATCACTCTGAGCTCCAGACCCGAGTATCCCAAAAGATTCTGCTCTCCCCTACTCAGGATCATGCCACCACCACCCCCCATCACTCTTGGAGTGAAATTCTCACCCCTGCAGCACCAGGGCCCTACTGGTCTTGGTCACTCCTCTCTCCTATGCTCTGAGCTCTCTCACCATCCTCCTGCCCCACCATCCCTACTGGAAACCACTCACCTCCCTGCTACCCTCTCCTCACACTGTCCATCCTCCCTGGCAAACTCCTATTCATCTACAGAACCCGGCTAAGACAGCCGCTCCTCCCGGAACCCTTTCCCACACCTGGGGCTCCATCCAGCCCCTCAACCTCCTCTGGGGGAGCACATGTGACACCAGATGGAGTTTCCTGTGGCCCCGCTGGCCTATCTCACCGGCCCGTGAGTTCACACAGGAGCAGCGGACTGAGGCCCTGTGTTCATTCATTCGTCAGATCTTTGTTGATGCCCATGGCACAGCAAACAAGACCGTGCCAAGCAGGTGGTGGAGTGGTGGAGCGAGATACCCCGGGAACCTAGAATGTGGTGGGAAGAGGACTCAGCAACCCGGCCACGGCATGGCGGGCACTGAGGGCCGGGCTGGGGGCGGCGGGTCCTTGGGAGCCACGGGCGGTGAACAGGGTCTCATCGGCTACATCTCCTGCTGTGTCCCTACCTTTGAGCTGAAGGCCTTGGGAAGCCTTGCAGGCATTCTGTGCCCTGGCTCAGGCTCTGCATAAACACAAGAACTGCCTCTTTATTTATTTGTTTGTGTGTTTGTGTATTTGTTTGTTTATTTATTTTGAGACAGAGTCTCACTCTGTCACCCAGGCTGGAGTGAAGTGGCTCAATCTTGGCTCACTACAGCCTCTGCTTCCCGGGTTCAAGCGATTCTCCTGCCTCAGCCTCCTGAGTAGCTGGTGCTGCAGGCACCCACCACCATGCCCGGCTAATTTTTTTTTTTTTTTTTTTTTTTTTGTATTTTTAGTAGAGACTGGGTTTTACCATGTTGGCCAGGCTGGTCTTGAACTCCTGACCTCAGGTGATCCACCCGCCTTGGCCTCCCAAAGTGCTGCAATTACAGGCGTGAGTCACCACGCTTGCCCACCCCCCGCCCACCGTTTAAAGAAAGGATTCTCTTGGATCCCAGGGATAGAGTGGCATAAAGGAGCCGCTCTCAGGCTCCTGGGGGTTGACCAAGGCCTTCTGCTTAAGTAGAGTTTCTTTTCAGGAACAGGGAGACCTTGTGTTTACTAGGAAATTCTGTTTTATTTTTAACTTTTTCCTTTGAGATAATTACAGACCCACAGGAGGCTACACACACAGTGTAGGGAATCTCCCTCACGTCCTTCTCCCCGTGGCAACACCTTGTGTAACTGTAGGTCCAGAATGGAAACCAGGAAATCAGCACAGAAACCAAACTATTAACGAGACTGCAGATCACACTGCGGGTTCATTTTTCACACGCGTTTCTTTGCACGTGTGTGTGTGTGCGCGCACGTGGGCTTCTGTGTCCCTTTATCTCATGTGTAGAATCGTGTCATCACCACCACATCCAGCGCAGAGATGATTCATCACCACAGAGCGGCTCCCTCCTGCTGCCTCATCCCTGGGTCCCAAGAGAATCCTTTCTTAAAAGAGGGGGTTCTTGCTGGGCGCGGTGGCTCACGCCTGTAATCCTTGCACTTTGGGAGCCCAGGGAGGGTGGATCATTTGAGGTCAGGAGTTTGAGACCAGACTGGCCAACATGGCGAAACCCCGTAAAAAAAAATGAGCAAGGCATGGTGGTGGGTGCCTATAGCCCCAGCTACTCAGGAAGCTGAGGCAGGAGAATCGCTTGAACCCGGGAGGCAGAGGTTGCAGTGAGCCGAGATTGAGCCACTTCACTCTAGCGTGAGCTAAAGAACGAGACTCTGTCTCAAAAAATATATATATATAAATAAATAAATAATTAAAACAAGTAAATAAATAAATAATTTAAAAATAAAGAGGGGGTTTTTGTGTTGACACAGAGCCTGAACCATGGCAGAGGAGGCTGGGAAGGCTCCCTGAGGCCTTTAGCTCAAACAAAGCAGGACGGCCCATAGTTAAACAGAAACAGTTCAGGAATCACAGAAAGGCCCCTGGGGAGAGATGGGTGTGTGCGTCCAGATGCAGGTGCACAGACAGTGCGTCCCCAGGTGCAGAGGCAGATCCAGGCCAAGTACCAGCTCAAAGCGCCAACCTAGGTGGGTGTCCAGGTAGAGGGAGGCTGAGACCGGGGTAACAGTCAGGGTAGCCGAGGGAGGCAGGCAGCCTCCTGAGTCACCACGTGGTCCAGGTATGGGGCTGCCCAGGCCCACAGACAGACACAAGCATTGGGGAATTTAAGGGGCTGGGGAAGGGGCTGAGGAGGGTAGGCCCTCCCCCAAATGAGGATGGAACCCCCCCCAACTCCAGAACCCCTCTGCAGGCTGGCCAGATTCCTTCCCCGTCTCATTCACTCTCTCTCTCTCCTGTTCTCTACCCTCTACCATTTTGAATTTCCAACCCCGTCTCTTAAGACTCTGTCCTTCTGTGTCTGAATCTCTGTCCCCTTCTCTTTCTGGGTCTCTGTCCCTCTCCCTCTGGGTCTCTGTCCCCCTCTCTGGGTCTCTGTCACTCTCTCTTTGCATCTCCAGCTCTCACTTTGTCTCTGTACCTAGCTCTTCCCCACCCCTCTGCAGATCCCAAGTTGGGGAATGCCAGTTCTGGCGCCAACCTTCCTGCTCCCTGCTGGGGCCTCTGCTCCCCCATCTCTCAGGAGTCGAAAGTGAGAAAGCAAGGTGGGCAGCTTTGCTCCAGGTCCAGGTATCTCCCGCCCACCTCCTGCCTGTCTTCCATCCCTCCCCGCCTCTCCATCTCTCCCTGGTGCTGCCATCTTTCATCTCTGCCTCTGTCTCCTCTGTTATTGTCCCCATCCCCTGTAGGTGCCCATCCTTCCTGTCTCCCCTCTGCCATCAGCCTGCCTGTCCGGTCCTCTTTCTCCCACCATGTCCCGTTCTCTTCCACGTCTCATGCCCACACTGCCTTCATCATCATCGCTGTTGTTCTGTGTGTTTGTGGTGAGTGCCTCATGGTGGGGGTGTCTCGGACTCTCTCCTCTCTCTCCACTGTTTCCTCTTTCTGTGTGTCTGTTTGCATTCTGTCTCCACCTTCTTGCCTCCGTCTTTTGCTTTTCTCTCTCCACTTCTCCACACCCCTCTCTCTCTGCTTCTCTGTGTCTCCCTCTTCCTCTTTTTTTCCCACCATCTGCCTTTCGTGTTCCCTGTCACATCCAGCTTCCACCTCTTTCTCCATCTCTCTCCTCAGTTCCTTCTCTCATGAGCACATCTCCCTCTGTGCTGGTATTCCTGGACCCCTCTCTCTCCACTGTCATATCTTCTCATTCATTTTCCCAGCCTCTCTCTCTCTCCCCCTCCCTCTCCCTCTCTCTCACTCTGTCTCTCTCTCTGTGTGTGTGTCTATGTGTCTCTCTGTCTGTCTCTGTCTTTCCATCTCTCTCTCTTTCTGTCTCTCTATCTCTCTGTCTCTGTCTGTCTCTCTGTCTTTGTCTCTGTCTGTCTCTGTGTCTCTCTGTCTCTGTCTCTCCATCTCTCCCTGTCTCTCTCTGTCTCTCTTTGTGTGTGTCTCTCTGTCTGACTCTCTCTCTGTCTCTCTGTCTCTCTGTGTCTCTCTGTGTCTCTCTGTCTCTCTCTGTGTCTCTCTCTGTGTCTCTCTCTGTCTCTCCATCTCTCCCCTACCGTGACTCCCTCTCTCAGTGCCTCTCTTCCTGCCTCTCTCAGCCCTTTCTTGCCCTTTCCTCTGAGGCTCCCCACCCTGGTTTCCTGACTCCACCACCAGATCCACCACCTCCAGCAACTGAGAACCCTCCCGTGCCCACCCTGCCCTGGGGTCCCCTCCCAGGATTCCTTCTAGATTATAGCATCTTCCGGGGGCGGGTTCTCATGAACAATTGTGGCTGCTTTTTTGGCCAGAGAGGGGAGGGAGGGGATGGGATCAGGGAGTTCTGGAATGGGAACTAGGCAATAAAAAAAAAAAAAAAAATATCAGAAGCAGGGCAGCGGGAGGTGGGGGCAGGGCCAGCTGTCCTGACCAGGGATAAAAGGCTTTGCCAGCGTGACTAGGAAGAGAGACACCTCCCCTCCTTCCTTCACCAAGACATCAAGGAGGGACCTGCGCCCTGCTCCTCATCCTCCCGCCTGTCGCCCGCAGAGCCTGCAGGCCCCGCCCTCCTGGTCTCTGGTCCCTACTGCTCTGCTCTGTCTTCATGTCGCTGAGGGTCTTGGGCTCTGGGTAAGTAGCCCTCGCTGTCTCTGCCTCTCAGCCCCTGGTTCTGTTGAAGGTTCCTTCTCTCTCACTTTCTCTCTGCATTTGACAGAACCTGGCCCTCAGCCCCTAAAATGTTCCTCCTGCTGACAGCACTTCAAGTCCTGGCTATAGGTAAGAAAAGGGTTGGGTATGAGACAAGGGGGTCCCCTGGAGACTCTGAGAAGAGATGGGGAATGGATCCTTGGGGCCCCTGGATGCTCATGGTGACCTCGTAAGAAAGAGCCGGGAATGGTCTGGGGATCATGGTGGGGGAGCGTGCTGGAGGCCTAAATTCCTAGTTGTGGAGGTGCTGGGAAATTGTGGGACGGGGGAGAGAGGTGTTTATAAGATCTGGTGCAAAATAAATAAGGAATCGTAGAGAACGATTAGATCCTGAGTGGGTCATAACAGAAGGATCACAGGGTTCTACTTGACTGTGCTAGGAAAGAAACACTGTGGGAAAGATGTTTTGTTGTCAGAGGGAAGGTGGAGAAGGACGATGGGGTGGCAGGATCGTGGTGTGGGGTGTGCAAGGTGGCTGGGGGCAAGTGTGGGGCAAGAGATGGTGGATCCTTGGGGTCCCACTGAGTGGGAACTTTGGGGAAGAGACAGGGAGGTCCTGGAATGTGTTGGGGAAGGACTCACTGGGGGGAAATGTGGCGTATTTCGAGAAGTGATCACAGAAATTATGGGAGCGTAGAGCTGAGGGTCGTAGATGTAGCAAGGCCCTGGATAAGGTGGCCATGGCACAAAATAAGAGATGCTACGGAGGTGACTTGGGAGGTGAGTCAGAAAACTCTCCGTGTTGGGGCAATAACGGGGTCAATATGGGGCGTATCTGCCCCTGGGCGGGATGGATAGAAGCGGGAGGTTTAGGGTTAGACCAAAAGGAAGAGGATTTGTCAGTTCTGGGACCCTACAAACTTGCGAAGTGGAGAGTGTTTGCTCATCTACTTTCCCCACCCAATCCTGTCCACTCCTAGACATGACACGGAGCCAAGAGGATGAGAACAAGATAATTGGTGGCTATACATGCACCCGGAGCTCCCAGCCGTGGCAGGCGGCCCTGCTGGTGGGTCCCGGGCGCCGCTTCCTCTGCGGAGGTGCCCTGCTTTCAGACCAGTGGGTCATCACCGCTGCTCACTGCGGCCGCCCGTAAGTGACCCCCTCCCCTGTCCCTGTGTCCAGTGAATTCTAGAGTCTAAAGCCCTAGAACTGAGCTGAGAACCTGGATCTCTGTGTAGAACCCCGTGTAGTGGCTGGCTCCTGGTTTGAGGTCTAGAGAAGAGCCTGGAACCAAAAACACAGCTCGGGATGTGGACTCCTCCGTAAATCTCGAACTCAGCGTAGGTTCTGAAAGCAGATGGGCAGCTTGGAACCCATGGGCCTGCTGAGAACCAAACATCGAATCCAGTGATTCATCCAGAGGCCACGCATTACATCAAGACCAAGCTTAGCCCAATCCAGATTGGTGGCTGAATTCAGGAGCCCGTCTACATTCAGAAACTAAGGAGACTACGTAGAACTCAGAGCCCAGTTCAGGACCTACGGTCTAGCCATAAATCCAGAACTGGAACCCTGCTCACAGCTGGAACATACAACTCTAAGAATAGAGGCAAAACCTGAAGGCTATTCCACATCCAAGGTTTAGTTCAGAGTCTAGTCTATAGCTCCGCTATGAGCAGCCTAGAATACAGACTTCAACCCAGTGTTTGAAGCCCAGAATGTGCCTGGCGCGGTGCACGCCTGTAATCCTAGCACTTTGGGAGTCCGAGGCGGGCAGATCACCTGAGGTCGGGAGTTCGAGAGCAGCCTGACCAACATGGAGAAGCCCTGTCTCTATTAAAAATGCAAAACTAGCCAGGTGTGATGGTGCATGCCTGTGATCTCAGCTACTCGGGAGGCTGAGGCAGGAGAATCACTTGAACCCAGGAGGCAGAGGTTGCGGTGAGCCGAGATCGCGCCATTGCACTCCATTCTTAGCAACAAGAGCGAAACTCCATCTCAATAAATAAATAAATACATAAATAAATAAATCCCAGAATGGAGATCCTAATCGGAAGCCCCATATAAAACCTAGACCCCTCCTAAATTCTAGATCTGAACTTACAACCCAGACCCCAGCCAAGAAGTCAAAATACCTATAAGCCATGTCTATGCCATAAACAGAAGGTCAGTCTAGAACCTAGAGATCAAAGCTCAGGCCAGAGTCTAGAATATAAAGGCCAGAATGCAAATCAGACTCTAGAATCTTGGATCCAGGCCATAACCCGGAGCTCCAACTAGAACCCAGAGCCCAACCTGAGGTCAAGGGCTCAGATCAGAGTCCAGAACCAAGAGCCCTATAATCCAATATGAAACAGACCTGTAGAATCAAGAGCTCAGACCAATGTTGAGAACCCTGACCCCAGCTGGCGCACAGAGCTCATACTGTTGTCTAAGAACGGCTCATAAACCAGAGTTTAATAAGGAACCCAGAGCACCACCCAGAAACTGGAGCTATCGATGTATCTAGAACCCATAGCCCAGGTCTTAATCCATTGCTCAAAATAAAACCCTCAGCCTATCCTAAAACAGAAACCTAACATCAGACTCTAGGAATTAAGTCATAGCCGGGCACGGTGGCTCATGCCTGTAATTCCATTACTTGGGAGGCCGAGGGGGGCGGATCAGTTGAGGTTGGGAATTCAAGACCAGTCTGGCCAATATGGTGAAACCCTGTCTCTACTAAAAAATACAAAAATGAGCTGGGTGTGGTGGTGGGCACCTGTAGTTCCAGCTACTCGGGAGGCTGAGGTGGCTGAGGCAGGAGAATCACTTGAACCAGGAGCTGGAGGTCGCAGTAAGCTGAGATCGTGCCACTGTACTCCAGGCTAGATGACAGAGCGAGACTCCATCACAAAAAAAAAAAAAAAAAAAAAAAAAAAATCAAGTCATAATCCAGGTTCAATCTAGAATCCTGATCTTAGCATAGAGTCAAAAGTTTAAGATGTCTAGAACCCAGAGCCCAGACTAGAAACAGAATGGAGCCTACTCCAGAATATCAGTTCTGATTTACAGCCTAGAGTCATAATGCAGTTTCACTTAGAACTCAAAGCACAGAGCCCAGCACAGACCCTGGAACGGAGCCAAGCTCTCCCAGTCATCACCTTCTTCCCAAGCCGGGAGCTGGAGCTCAGCCCAAGAGCAGAAGGAGAGGCAGCTGGGGCTGGGCCGAGAGAATGCCCTGGTCATGGGGAAGGGCACAGGAGGCCAAGAATGCTCGGCCTGCAGTTAGTGAGAAGCAGGCTAGACATCAGGGAAGACTCATCACCCGGCCAGGGAATTGGGCCAGAGGGTGGGGAGGGGTCTCTGGCTCAGACCCTGAGCAGCACTTCTCTTGGGGGTCGTGGCCAGGATCCTTCAGGTCGCCCTGGGTAAACACAACCTGAGGAGGTGGGAGGCCACCCAGCAGGTGCTGCGCGTGGTTCGCCAGGTGACGCACCCCGACTACAACTCCCGGACCCACGAAAACGACCTCATGCTGCTGCGGCTCCAGCAGCCCGCGCGGATCGGGAGGGCAGTCAGGCCCATTGAGGTCGCCCAGGCCTGTGCCAGCCCCGGGACCTCCTGCCGAGTGTCAGGCTGGGGAACTATATCCAGCCCCATCGGTGAGGACTCCTGCGTCTTGGAAAGCAGGGGGCTGGGCCTGGACTCCTGGGTCTGAGGGAGGAGGGGCTGGGGGCCTGGGCTCCTGGGTCTGAGAGAGGAGGGGCTGGGGTCTGGACTCCTGGGTCTGAGGGAGGAGGGGCTGGGGTCTGGACTCCTGGGTCTGAGGGAGGAGGGGCTGGGGTCTGGACTCCTGGGTCTGAGGGAGGAGGGGCTGGGCCTGGACTCCTGGGTCTGAGGGAGGAGGGGCTGGGCCTGGACTCCTGGGTCTGAGGGAGGAGGGGCTAGGGACCTGGACTCCTGGGTCTGAGGGAGGAGGGGGCTGGTGAGCTGGACTCCTGGGTCTGAGGGAGGAGGGGCTAGGAGCTGGACTCCTGGGTCTGAGGAAGGAGGGGCTGGGCCTGGACTCCTAGGTCTGAGGGAGGAGGGGCTGGGGGCCTGAACTCTTGGGTCTTATGGGAGGGTAGACCCAGTCATAATCTTGCAGTGCTCCCCCAGCCAGGTACCCTGCCTCTCTGCAATGTGTGAACATCAACATCTCACCGGATGAGGTGTGCCAGAAGGCCTATTCTAAAGCCATCACGCCTGGCATGGTCTGTGCAGGAGTTCCCCAGGGCGGGAAGGACTCTTGTCAGGTAATGATCAGGATGGGAGCTGGGGGAGGGATTATTTGGGACGGGGATTTAGGCAGACGATGTCAGGAGCATGGAAGTCTGCAGAGGTCTTCAAAAGAGAGTGAGCCGCAGGGATGGCGAGATTCCGATAGCCAGGCTACCCTGCTTCCTAGCCCTGTGCCCCCTGGGTAATGGACTTAAAGCATTCATGCCTCAGTTTCCTCATCTGTCAGGTGGGGATAACCCTCTTAGGGTAGTTGGTGGAGTAGGATGAGGCAGGTTGGGGAAAGATCGCAGAGTGGCATCTGCTCATATGGGTCTGGGAAAGGCTGGGCTGAGGCTTCTAGAAATCTGAATACATCCTTGAGAGAGGCAGAGACGGGGAAATAGAAAAAGAGAGACACGCAAGTGTTCTACAGATGGAGCGAACAGAGAGGGGCCGGGTGAGACTCAAGGGACAGGCAGGTGCACACAGAGACAGAGCTAGACCCAGTGGAGAGGGAAGGAAGTGCCCTGACCTCTGGGACTGAGACCTCAGAGCTGGGGCAGGACTGTGTCCCTAACTGTCCACCCCAGAGTCTCTTCCTGTCTCCTTATCTCTGCTTCTTGGGTTCTCTGTGCCGTGGCTCTAGCCACCTGTCCATCGGTGTCTCTATCTCTGTTCCTCCCCCTCAGGGTGACTCTGGGGGACCCCTGGTGTGCAGAGGACAGCTCCAGGGCCTTGTGTCTTGGGGAATGGAGCGCTGCGCCCTGCCTGGCTACCCTGGTGTCTACACCAACCTGTGCAAGTACCGAAGCTGGATTGAGGAAACGATGCGGCACAAATGATGATCTTCATGGTGGGATGGATCTCATCAGCTGCCCAGGCCCTCCTCTCTCCACTCAGGCCCCAGCCCCTCCTCCCTCAGACCCAGGAGGACAGGCCCAGCTCCTCCTCCCTCAGACCCAGGAGCCCCAGTCCCCAGCAACCTGATCTTTACTCCAGCTCCGATCTCTCCTTTCCCAGATCAGTTGCTTCAAGCGTTTTCTCCCCACCATGCCCCCACCCTTGCTGTGTCACCATCACTACTCAAGACCAGAGGCACAGAGGGCAGGAGCACAGACACCTTAAACCGGCATTGCATTCCAGAGAAGACAATTTTTAACACGCTTAGTGTCTCTAAAAACCGAATAAATAATGACAATAAAAATGGAATCATCCTAAGTTGTATTAATTCATCCATTTATTTATTTTTTATATTTTGAGACAAGGTCTTGCTCAGTCTCCAGCTGGAGTGCCGTGACACAATCATGGCTCACTGCAACCTCGACCTCCTGGGCTCCTGTGATCCTCTTACCTCAGCCTGCCGGGTAGCTGGGACCACAGGTGCCTGTCACCATGCCCGGATACTTTTTAACTTTTTTGTAGAGACGAGGTTTCCCTGTGTTGCTCAGGTTAGTCTCGAACACCTGACCTCAAGCAATCCACCTCCCTCAGTTTCCCAAAGTGCCGGGACTGTAGGTGTGAGCTGTCGCGCCCAGCCTCATCCATTCATTTAATTACTTCAAGAAACAGGTACACAGTGGCCCCACCATGCCCAGCCAGGAGCTGTGTCCTGACAAGTGGCTGCCTCCCTCTTTGCGTGTTTTTCCTCGGGAGTCCCCCGTCCACCCCACTGTATCAGGTTTCTAGACGGTAACACCTCAGCCCTGCAGAGTGACCTTGAGCACGGCTGCCTTCTACCAGCCTCCTCCCTGGAGCCCCTGCGGTCCAGGGCAGGGAACTAACTGCCTTGTTTCCTGGAAAATTCTATGCAAATGAAGATGTCCTCTTTTTCCTAATCAGATCTCAGGTGAGGAGAGTTGAGTTAATCACAGGCTTCAGTTCCTGTCCAGGCAAAGCCTTTCTCTCGTTTTATTAATTTATTTCCACTCTTCATCTCTGGCTGTGCTCCCCTCCCTTCCCACAGGCACCGACACAGATGACTTTGAATGCCCTGCATCCTTGGAAAACAACGCAGTGTCACGGTGTTGTTTCTAATTTACATGAAACCATTGTGTTAGGAATCTCATTCTCTTTCTTACTTTCACTCATCAACAGCTATTGAGTACCTACTACGCGCCAGGCATTGGTCTATTTATTGGGCACCTGCTGTGCACCTGGTATTGTTCTGGGTGCTGGAGGAAGCGCTGTGAGCAAGCCAGTCAGAATCCCTGCCCTCACAGAGCTTATATTCTAGCAGGAGATGACAGACAAGAAGCCGTAAACATAATTTTAAAATAAAGCAGAGTCCCTATGAGTAACGAGGTCAATAAACGTGGGCTGGGCGGCAGGCCCAATGTGTGCCAGGACCAGCTCATACATGCTCGCAGGAGTCTACCGGCAAATTTTCAGGAATTTCGAGAGCTGGTTGCTAAATGCAGCCATTATTAAAAATTAAATTACATAAGCTTATAATTACATAATTGATTGAAAAAATTGTCAGTAAATACTCAAAACTCAACTGTTGCTAATTATTTCAATGAAAACCTATGCTTGGGAGTGAGGTATGTCTTTTGTACTACATCTGTAATGATGAGCTTCTGTACATCTCTTTCCAGCTCCCCAACTCTGTATGCACCAGTAGCTTGACAGTAGCCAAAGTAGAAGTATTTATTGCACTGAAATTGAAAAACACTAGAGATAGGGCTTTGCCCGACAGTCATTGCTAAACCTTTACCAGGCACCCTTGGATGGGTCTGCCTGGGAATGACCTAATGATCTTAGTGTCTGTCTTCTCAAAGTTCTGTGCTTGGATACTACAGAGTACAGATAAAATAGAATGTTGTACTCACCTTATGTTCTATGGGGACAGCACAGTATTGGGGAACCCGAAGGTGGCAGGTTTGGGACATGCACGAAAGATTGCTGGGAAGTAGAGGCTGCCTCCTTTCTCCTCATCCTCCCACCCCTTCCCCCAGCTTCTGGTAACCACCATTCTACTCTCTTCTTCTAAGAGTTTGAGTTTTTTAGATTTCACATATAATTGTGAAATTATATGTGATTTCACATATAAGTGAAAATATAATTATGTATGATTTCACATATAACTGAGATCATGCAGTATTTGTCATTCTATGTCTGACCTATTTCACTTAACACAGTGTCCTCCCGGTCCATCCATGTTGTCACAAATGACAGGATTTCCTTCTTTTATAAGGTAGAATAATATTAAATTATACTGATATTAATATATTACATTTCCTTTATCCATTCATCCATCAACAGACACACAGGTTGTTTTCATATCCTGATCATTATGAATAATGCCACCACGAACATGGGTGTGCAGATATTACTCTGAGATACCAATTTCATTTCCTTGCACCAACTTACCTTCCCACCAACAGGGTACAAGGATTCACTTTTTTTCCCCCCACATCCTTGCCAAGGTTGTTATTGTTTGCCTTTTCTATACTAGTCATTCCAAAATGTGGGAGGCAATATCTTACTGTGATTTTAATTTGTGTTTCCCTGATGATTGGTGATAGTGAGCACCTTTTCATATACTTGATCCCTTGTATGTCTTCTTTGGAGAAATGTCTGTTCAGGGCCTTTGCCCTTTTTTTTTTTTTTCCGGAGACAGAGTCTCTCCCTTTTGTCCAGGCTGGAGTACAGTGGTGTGATCTCAGTTCACCGCAACCTCCACCTCCTGGGTTCAAGCAATTCTTCTGCCTCAGCCTCCCAAGCAGCTGGGATTACAGGCATCTGCCACCATACCCAGCTAATTTTTGTATTTTTAGTAGAGACAGGGTATCATCATGTTGGCCAGGCTGGTCTCAAATTCCTGACCTCAGGTGATCCACCAACCTCAGCCTGCCAAAGTGCTGGGATTTCAGACATGAGTCACTGCGCCTGGTCCTTTGTCCATTTTTTAATTGGGTTATTTGTTTTCTTGCTGTTGAGTTTTTGCATTCCTTATATATCTTGGATATTGACCCTTTATCAGATACATCATTTGCAAATATTTCCTCCCATTCGGTAGGTTGTCTTTTCACTCTGTTGATCATTATCTGTTGGTTGTTTCCTTTGGTGCACAGAAGCATTTTCATTTGATACAACCCCATTTGTTTTGTTGTCTGTGCTTTGATATATTTTATTATTTAGATATTTTATATCTAAAATATCATTGCCCAGACAAATGTCAAGAAGTTTTTTCCCCAGGTCGTCTTCTTATCATTTTACAGTTTCAGGTCTTATGTTTAAATCCTTAACCCATTTTGAGTTGATTTTTATACATGGCATGAGATAGGAGTCCAATTTTATTCTTCTCCTTGTAGGTATCCAGTTTTTCCAACAGCCTTTGTTAAAGAAAATATCCTTTTCCTTTGGGTTAAAGATCAGTTGGTGGTAAATGTGTGGATTTATTTCTGAGCTCTCTGTTCTGTTCCATTGATTATATGCCTGTTTTTATGCCAGTACCATGCTGTTTTGGTTACTATAGCTTTGTAGTATGTTTTGAAATCAGACAGTATGATGTCTCTGGCTTTGTTCTTCTTGCTCAAGGTTGCAGGGCCTTTCATGGTTCCATATTTATGATTATTTTTTCTACTTCTGTGGAAAAAATATGCCATTGGAATTTTGATAGGGATTGCAATGAAAATGTAGATAGTTTTGGTTAGTATTGACATTTTAACAGTATTAATTCTTCCAATTCACAAATATGGGATATCTTTCCATTTCTTTATGTTGTCTTCAATTTTTTTCATCAATGTTTTATAGTTTTCAGTATACAGATTATTTACTTCCTTGGTTAAGTTTATTTTTAAGCATTTTATTGTTTCTGATGCCATTGTAAATTGAGTTGCTTTCTCAATTTTTTTCTAATAATTCATTGTTAGGATGTAGAAACACAACCAAATTTTGTATCTTGCAACTTTACTGAATTCATTTATGAGTTCTAACAGTTTTTTGATGGACTCTTCAGGGTTTTCTGCATACAAGATATGTCATCTGCAAACAGAGATAATTTTACTCTTTCATTCTGATCTGGATGCCTTTTATTCTTTTTCATGCCTAATTACTATGGCTAGGACTTCTAGTGCTAATGTTGAATACAAATGGCTAGAGTGAGCATCCTTGTCTTGTTCCTGATCTTAGAGGAAAAGCTTTCAAGTTTTCACCCTTGGGTATGATGTTAGCTGTGGATTTGTCATATATGGCCTCTACTGTGTGAGGTACATTCTCTCTATACCTAATTTGTTGACTGTCTTTATCATGAAATGATGTGGTATTTTGCCAAATGATTTTTCTGTACCTATTAAGATGATCATATAATTTTTGTCCTTCATTCTGTTGAGGTATATCACGCTTAGTGATTTGTGCATGTTGAACCATCCTTATATCCCAGGGATAAATCCCACTTGATCATGGTATATGATGTTTTTAATATGCTACTGAATTTAGTTTGCTAGTGTTTTGTTGAGGATTTTTGCATCTATATTCATCAGAGATATTGGCCTATCATTTTCTTTTCCTATAGTGTCCTTGTCTGAGTTTGTGGAGGTTGCATCTTCTGTGTCAAGGTGATAAACACACACTGTGGGTTTAATACATAGCAGTCATACAAGCCCTATAGGAAAAAGGAGACAAAAGAAGCTGTGTACTTGAGTAGATTTGGGCCCCCAGTGACATGATATAACTCACGCTATAATTCTCACCCTGCATCCTTCTATAAAGCTAAGTAAAAATAGTTTAAAGATTACTTTAATCTTATTTGCAACTCAAAGTTCCAGTTGTGTTGGTTGAGCACCATATTTTATTGATTTAAAGACACATTCTTTTCATATTTTTAACATCTCTGAAATTAGGAGGCATCTTACATCTTAATTCAGTGTGATGTCTTACATGTCATAATTTAATTGACAACTTCTTTTTCTTTCTGAGTGGTCTAGAAAATAACAGTGCAAATATAATCAACAGTATTTTACATTCAATTAAATAGTGTGTGAAGGAAGGCAAGTGTAGGTGAGGAGTCAGTTTGTATTATTAAATAAGTCATCTGATTTTGTCAAATAATCTTGTAACGATCTATCTGCATCATTGTTTGCTCATCTAGTTCATTGCTTCTAACTGCCCCAGAGTCTTCTAGACATATGTTGTCCAATATGGTAGCCATTAGCCACAAGTGGTGTGGTCATTTAACTTTTGATTAAAATTAATTAAA